CCCCTGGCACCTGTCCCTTCCCTTACCCCTGCCCCCTCCTGGTGCCTCCCCCTTCCCTCACTGCCCCTGCCCCCGCCCCTTTTGCCCTCTTTTTCCGTGATGCCCACTCCCTCACAACCCTCATGCCCCTGTGTCCTCACACATGCCTTGCTCCGTCCCTGCCTACCTCATGCTCACCCCTTCTTTCAAGCCTTCTCCCAGCACCTCCCCCCCAACCGCAATCCCAATGCCCCTACCCTCTCCTCTCCCAGCATCACCCTGTCCCCCCTCCTACTGACACCTCACCTCTTGCCCTTTCCCTCATTGTCTCCACTTGGGCCCCTGGCATGTCTCTTCTCTACCCTTCCCCTTTCTTCTCCTGAGCTGCCCCCCTCCCCTCAGCACAAGCCCCTCCCCTCTCTTACCTTCAGCTTCTGCCTTCCAAATCGCGGGGCTGGAGTCAGAGCCATCCCAAGCTACAGGCTGGCCAGGCCCTAGCCCAGCACTCCACCGGGGTGCTGCGCAGTGCTGCCGGGCCGGGTGGAGCACCCCTGGGGCGCCATGCGGTACTGCTGGGACAGGCGGGGCCCAGGGCACAAAAATTGCTCGGGCCGGCCAGTGTTTGTAGTTGAGCCCCAGCTGCTTCTGGAGCTGGGCCATGTGGACAGCTGCTTGTGGAGCTGGGCCGCACGGTTTGAAAGTCTCGGGCCATGACCTCACGCCACGGCTGGGCCTCTCCCCTCTCACCTGTTGCCCAGCGTTTCAGCACGCCACATGCCCCACAGTGCCCCGTAGATGGCCGTGGGGAATTTAAAGTGAGGGGCTGCAGCGCCCCATCACAAATCCCTCTCCTCCTCCAGCAGCTGCCCGAGACATTAGGGTGTGCCTGGGCACACCCAGCACACCCTGTGCACACGCCTATGGTTGCAGGAATAACAAAATGAATTTTAAAACAATTAACTTAGTGCAAAGCCTTAAAGCGCATACATTGTTTTATATCCTGTTTAAACAAATTTATCTTAAGTTGTTAGATCAGTTTAATTGTATTTTTATTTTTTTTCAAATGTAGATTCACCCTGAAATATAAAGAAAGTACACAAGTAAAACTGTGGAATTACCAGACTTGATATTTGAATTTTTTTAACGATTTTTTTGAAAGTGCGGGAGACTTCTTCAGGTTGTTAATGCAGTATTCAGGAGCAGCCAGGGTGATGGAGCGGCAGAAGCACATTTTAGATCTGGGGTGAGGAACCTGTGGTCCCTGGCTTGCCTGCAGCTGGCCCCCAGTATTGGGGAGTTTGTGCTGGCGCTCCTGCTATCCCCTCTACCGCGGGGCTGCAGCACACAAAATCTATTTGCCTGGGGGGTCAGCGGCCCCCAACCGAAAAAAGCTTCACCATCTCTGTTTTTGAAACTCTTTAACAAATATAAGGTCTATATATGTGTGACCTTGACAGTTAGGGCTAAGATGTATGCATTGGATCCAAGATCATCTTGTACCATAAGATGAGATAATTTATTAAACTTTTCTATTGTGATGTTTTTAAATTGTGCAATAGATAATCTAGCTATAGCAAAGGAATGGCTAGAAAGATTCTGGACCCAGTCTTGTTGAATTGACTACAGCGGGAGCAGGATCCAGCTGCTTTACCATGAATACATTTTATGACCTGAGAAAAATGCCTTTGCTCTTGATAGCTGGGGACAGATCTTTGTCTTGTTTACATTATTGTAAATCCAGTGTAATACCATTAGCTTTTAAGTTACTGCAATATCACATTTTGTGTGGTAGAAGCAGATTGTAAAATGATGACCTTTTCCTATCAAAGTGCTTTCCAAAGTTGAACCAGCATTACAAGTTTGGCCACATTCCTTTAACAACCCTGCCTATAAACTTAGTACACTTGATATTTAAAGCGATCATCACTAATTTTCTTTCAATTTTCAGTGTGAAAAAATGACATAATTATAATACTTTTTAAAAGACAAAATCCCCTTGAAAGTTCATAATTTTCACCAGTGCTCCCAATGCCACCACTAGCCTGGGGGACAATCAGAATAACCCCCTCTCCATTGCAGGACCCCTCCTCTGCTTCGCCTCTTCCCTGGAGCGATGGGGCTCAGGGGATTAGTGGGTGAATTGCACCAGCAGCAGGAGTTGACAACTTCCCCTCCACATTCAGTGACAGTGGAACACAGCCTCTGCCCCTGGCTCCTGGCTGCTTCCAATGCCACCACTAGCCTGGGGGACAATCAGAATAACCCCCTCTCCATTGCAGGACCCCTCCTCTGCTTCGCCTCTTCCCTGGAGCGATGGGGCTCAGGGGATTAGTGGGTGAATTGCACCAGCAGCAGGAGTTGACAACTTCCCCTCCACATTCAGTGACAGTGGAACACAGCCTCTGCCCCTGGCTCCTGGCTGCTTTGCTTCCTGTTGGTGAGTGTTGGGGAGCAGTCCTGCCCCTTTCCCTTAGCAACATGGCTCGAGGAGCAGAGCGAGCCAGGACCATATTATTGTTTTTCTCTGCCACTGCTGATGAGTGCAGGGACGGGCCCAAACCCTATTGCCAGTTCCAGCTCCCCTGCTAGTCCCACGGGCTGCACGGAGGTGTTGCCCCAGTGGGCTGCTGGCACCTTGCCCCTTCTGCCCTGTACCTTTTTAAGTCAAAATGTGTGTGTTTGATCTTAAAGTACAATGTAAATTAAGATGAGTTTGTAAGAGTTGCTGAAACTAGCATAAAACTTACTAAGTAAATGTCAAGGCCTGAAGTTGTGTGTGGGGAGGGGGGGGAGGGAGTTTGGGTTCTGCTTGGTTTTAATATTAGAAATTTGTGTCCTTTCTATCTTTGAAAGATTCTTTCACTGGAGACTTAGTAAAATTGACATTTTAAGAACAAAGCAAGTAAAGTTAGAGCTGGGAAGTGACATTTTCGTCACTGTTTGGCCTTTTTACGAATAGTATATTTCAGTTAATAACACTTCAGTGAGAATGTATGTCTTCAATGTTTTTCTTCCGTATCTTCAATTAGTATATGAGAATTTATGATAAACATGATTTAGCATATGGCATATCCTCCATCAGAACCAGAGAAGACTTGACCAGATGAAAGAAAGCTGGTGCACTGCTCTGAAAAAAAAATTGGCCATCTGGGGCACTTACCTGCAGGAGGAAAAGGCAAAGTTTTCCCAGTCTGTTCCTTGGGCTTTTTGTAGGTTTTTGCACTCGAAGCAGGCAGTTAAAGGGGTTGTGGTGGAGGGAGAGGGTTGGAATAGAGGGGAGGTTTCAGCTGCACTTACCTAGGTTGCTGAGGTTTTTTTTGTTCTTTTTGTTAACTTTACTCTCGCTCCCTAGTAAACAGCCTGCTCTCCCTCACAACTACCCAGGAGGGCAGAGGAGGGAGGGCACAGGCTGTGAACTTTGCCTCACTGCCTAGTCAGCAAAAAATTAAAAAAACCCTCAGCAACTGGTGTAAGTGTGGTTGCAGGCCCCCACCCCCTGAAATGGTGGCAGGGGGCTCCAGGCTGGCCAGTCCCAGATGTGTGTCTTCCCACCAGCCTTTCTAACCTGCCTTTGTCCTCCTCCCTCTCTCTCCCCCCCCCCCCCCGCACTCACACAACTCTCTGACCTGAGCTGCCTTCGCATACTCCCTGCCCTGAGCCCTCTTCTCAAATCCTGCTGCCATAGCCCCTCGTATATTCAAACCCTGACTTCTGAACCCCCCCCCCACTCCAATCTGCTGCCCTGAGCCCCCACTCATTTCCCCTAACCTTGACTCCTGCATCCCCAGTCCTAACTCGCACACCCAAATCCTCTGCCCTGAACCCCCACTCCACTTCACTCATAAATTTCTTACAGGTACTCTCCTATGGCCACCGCACCCGTAGCCCTCCCAAAGGGGAGGGGGCAGGTTGTGATAGTACAGTACCTGTAAGAAATTTAAGCTACTTCCACCCCTGGGCTTGACATTTCTGATACTTTGAACTGAAAAGTAAACAGAGAAGATAAAACACAAAACAAGAAACAACTTTGGTGCCCCTTTCCTACATTATAAAGAAACAGAGCACAAGCCCAATTTTTAAATTCAATTAAATTTTCAATTATTTGAAGGTCACCTTGAATTTTTTAATGCAATGTAAATAGTTAAAAATGTTTCCAGAAAAATTAAACATTTCACAAAAAGCAATTGTCATACATAATTTTTGCAACATACATCTAGATCTGTGTACAGTAGAGAAATTTACCATGCTAAAAAGTGTTTGGTTCTGGTCTGCTTGCAATTTGTTCTGTATCCATGTGTAAATGCTTTCAGACAGTCTAACAAATGTGCTAAATATTGTTTGGCTGGTACTTCCATACAGCAGGGCTGTATACGATGCTTGCACCATTGAAAGTGATGGTATGGACACAGGCTAATGAAACTCAAGCAGTCCTCTGAATGTTTCAGTGCAGTTATCTTTTAGAAATCTCCAAATGTAGATGTGATTCAAACCTGCAAGAGCTGTTAACGTAATAGTGCATGGCTAGTATAGACACAATGAACTATTTGTATGTGATGCTATCAGTTTACTTACCAACTCTAGAGAAGCCCTGTGGTGAAGCCAGTTATCCAAGATAAATTGCTTGTTGCCTTGTCTGTTCACTGTATTTGTAAGCCACAATGCTGCAGACATTTGTGTGCATGCTTAAATTTATATACCACAGTATCTGCATTGACTTCTTACATGCAAAATGTCCTATAGAACAGAATCAGGGCTTTACTATTATTATATTTGCTTGATTTTTAGACAGATTTGTTGCTAATTTAGATAAAAATACTTATTTTATTAACATAACTAAAACTGATTCCATGCTGCACATTGACAATATTTTTTCTTTGTGATTTAATGAGCCTGAGTATTTTATATAGACTTAAACTTAATTATAGTTTCTGTCATACACTCTAAAAAGATTGAAAATAGTTAATAGTTTATTTTCCAAATGGCTTTTGTTATTTTACATTTGACAGATGTAATTTGTACTCATTTCGGGTGAGTCTTGAAATGAACCTTTTTGTTAGTATCTTTTGCTCTATATCATCCATTTTAATCTTAAAGTAACTTAAAAAAAAACAGATAAACTGGTCTGACACTAATGGAGCCCAGCGTGAAGGATCAGTATTCACATAAACTATTGTTTTTTCTCTAACTCTTTGACAAGAGGGACTGTATTTTTAAAAAATACTGTATGATCAAGGTGATGCTGTCTATTAGAATCTAGCAGTTTTGAGATGACAAATGTGAGGCCTATTCTTTACTTTTTAAAATTACTCTTAGCTATATGAAGTATTGAACAACAATTTTATAAATCATGGCATGTACTTCAGGTACATTGTAGCATATCTGCTTAACTTCATACAAATGATGTACATTTTTTTGTCTCATGTTGTACATGCTTTGTAGAAAGAAGTGAAGAAAGAGCGAGCAGTGGTGGACAGAGTATTTGTTGCAAGAATATGTCGAATCTTGAAAATAATGGTCCCTAAAACATTTTGTAAAGAGGTAAGCATGCCATGCTGTTACAAATAAAAATGATCAAACTTCTGATGTAGCTCTTCGTTGTAATGATAGCTCTGAAAACACAGAATAATTGTTCTCTGACTTGTATTGAACTAGAAAAATAAAAGCCTAATGATTTTTTATGAAATTTTAGAAATTCAGGTTCACAGTTACATAATTTTAAAATTAAATAGTTATTTAGTATGATCATTAAAACACAAGCCATTGAGCTTCACTTAGTAACTTCTGCACTGAGCCCAGTAATTTGTGGTTGAGTCATAGAGTATCTTTTAGAGGGAATGCTGGTGTTGATTTACTATATATGGTGGAGAATTGATTACCTTTCTTGACAATTCCTTCCAATGATAACCTTCAGTGTGAATTGTGGGCTAGCTTTTGGTGGCCGAGCTCTGCCTACTAGAGTGCCATTTTGGTCAAAATCAATAGGTGTCTTCCTAGGAAAATTGTTTAGACTAGAATTTTCAAGATAAAACTCTTTGTATGCACCAGTTGTGAATTGCCAGACATCAAACTTGTATGTTCTGTAAACATCTGAAGATATTTTTGGGATGAAAGTACTGAAGTACAGAAATTGGAGACTGATTACAAATTGTATCATTTGGCTTTCTAGGCTTCAGTTGTCCCTAAATCAGGATAGGGTAATTATATGGCAGGCCACCAATGTAGGGTTTGGGGTAGAGGGTTGGAGTGCTAGAAGGGACTTAGAGTTGGGGTGCAGGAGGGATTTGAAGTGTGGGCCCTGGCCATATACCTCTTTCCTTGGCAGCAGTGCAGCAGGGCTAAAACATGTTTTCCCCCCTCCCTGGTTTTGTCCTGTGCCACTGTTGGAAGTGGCTAGCATGTTTGGCAGTAGCTTCTGGGTATGGAGGGGTGGGGCAAGTGGCTCAGTGTGCTGCTCTTGTCTGCAGGCACCCCATTCACAGCTAAAGGAGCTGCGAGTATGGTGCCTGCTGGTGATAGCCACGTGCAGAGCCCTCTATCCCTACCTGCCCTGTTCAGGAGTGGCAGAGGGTCATGGGAGGGGGTAGTCTGCCTTAGCCCCTCTGTGCCACTGGACTGGTAATCTGAAAGGCAGGATTAAAAGCCCTACTGGACTAGATGCAACCCTCAAGCTGTAATTTACCTACCCCTGCACTAACTTATTAAATTTGGTACATAAACTTGTTCCTTGACACTTCTACATTTTCTTTCATTTTGTTAGTACAGTATACTTATGCCATGTGTGGTGTACAGCTTTCAGTTGGATAAAAGTAGTAACGTATAGTAGCTTTTAGAAAGCTGAAAAGTAACCTCTTCCACAAGAGATCTTCCTGATAAGTGTAGTAATTGACTTTTGTTATAAAAACATTTAACATATTAGAATCTGTTCTATAAATTGAACAAAATTATTTCCCTTGAAAAGGAGTGGGAAATTTCTTCCTACCTGATAATTTTTCATTAGGTGAGCTTTTAATTTTTGTGTTGTCATTACTAAACATTGAATAATTGCTTTGCTTAATTTGTATTAGACAGGTTATTTGATGCTTATTGCTGTTATGCTGATAGTACGCACATATTGTGATATTTGGATGATTCAAAATGGAACAGTCATTGAAAGGTACCTGTAAATTATTTATGTAGCTATTTTTAAATATCTTGTTTCTTTGTTCAATGTTATGATGGTAGTGAAAGGCAAGTTTTTTGATAAACATGAAATGTCTAAGCAAAATAATATGAAATAACATTGTATATGAATATCTGCAACACTGTTTAAATGATAATACTTTTAAAAGAAAAACATAAAACTATACTTATCATAGGTGCCATCTTTGTCTGGACAACCCCCCACTCTGCCCCAAGCTACACCATCTCCTGATCCCTTCGCTCAAGTCCTTACCCGGTCCTGCCTCTTCCTGCCCTGCCTCTTTCCTCCCCTGAATGTACCTACTCACTGCTCCTCCACCTACCTCCCAGAGCTTCTTGTGTACCACAGAACAGCTTATTGCAGTGGGTTGAAGTCTTTAGGAGGGAGGAATTGATTTTCTGGCAGGCAGGAACTGCTAGAGGGGAGAGGGAGAGCTAGCTGCAGGTGGGTATTACGCATTCATTAATTTTTTTTTGTTACTGCTCTAGCCCTGCATCTCCCAGAGTCAGAAACTGACACTTTTCAGCAGTATTACCACCTAACCTTGTTGTTCCTAATTTTGTAGTTGTGCTTTCTATTTTTTTCCTGGGGGTAGAACTTTGTGCTTGCCTCTATTGAATTTCCTCTCTTTTTGACTTCAGACCAACTGTCCAATTTGCCATTTTGATTTCTGATTTAATCTAGTCTTCTAAAGTTCTAGGAACCCCTCTTAGCTTTGTGTTAACTGCAGATTTTATGAGCATACTTTCCATTCCACTATTCAAGTATCTAGCCAATTAGCCCATCATGAGACGGAATTTTCAGGTCTCTCCTCCACGTCGGTCTTCTCTCCTGAGCCTCTGGTCTCTCTCTCTCTCTCTCTCTCCTCCTCCTCCTCCTACTGCCTCCCCCCGCCCTCAGCTCTCCTCTGCCTTCTGCTTCTCTCTCAGTCTCTCTCCCCCTCCTGCCTCCCACTCTATCTGCTCACCTCTTTCTCAGTCGGGGATGCACGCTCGTCCAGGCTCTGCCCCTTGGGTGTGTATGTCACTGCCCCGCCACCTTCACCTCCCACCGTGGCGCTCGGCTGAGTTTTGCGTCGCTCATCCGGGCTGCCGCAAGGGAGCAAGTGGTGCAAATGGCCTCTCTCTCTTTTCTCCTACTGCCTCGCCCTCTCTCTCTCTCAGTTCTAGTCCGCCTCCTGCCTCTCTCTCCTTCTCTTTCTTTCTCTTCTCCCCCTCCCGCCTCTCACTCTGTGTTTCTCTTCTCCTGCTGCGTGTCTCTCTCTCTTGCTGTCCGCCGCCTCCTCCATTCTCCTCTCTGTCTCCTCCACATCTGCTTCACTTTCCTTCTTTTGAATCCGGCGCCCTTTCCTGACGTCAGAGAAGCCCACTCGTCCAGGCCCCACCCCCTGGCTGTTCCTTCTGGGCAGCGCTGTTGCCTCCCGCCGTGGTGCTTGGCTGCCTTCTGTGCCGCTCCGCTGGTCCGCCCCGCC